CGGATAATCCTAAGCTAAAACTCTGAAAATTAATTATCGTGCAATGTAATTTTATTTTTGTAATTTTTTAATTATTTATTATTATTATCATCATTATAAGATTTATCTTTTCTGAATTGTTTATATATAACTTGAAGTAATTCCATTAAAATTTTGAAAAATTAAAATATATCCACCTCCTCTTGAAGTATTTCCGAAACATAACAGTAAATATACGAGTTTCCCAACATATAAATGAGATAAATAATCATAAATATTGAATCCAGAAGAACTGATTTTGAATTATCGTCTGTCAGATACTGTAATGATTAATATAAAAGTAACTTAAATTGGAAAATTTAAAAATTTTCCTGATTATTAATACAAGATAAAATTTTCTTTTTCATCATAAGTCTCTAAAGTTTTGAGCAATCAAATGAAAGAATATTTTAATGACAATTTTTTCAATTTGAATTTTATTATTAAAATATTATTTTCAATATGGAGAAAATTAATTCTCAAAAAATTTAGATTTTTTGTTATAACTTCCTCAGAGAGGAAGGATTGTATTTTTGTTTATAGTTGTTCTTAAAATTTATAAGAAGAGAAAAAAATGTTTCATTCAAAACTTTAGAGAAATTATTCTGTTAAGTAACAATTTTTCGTATATTTTGTTGCAAAAAATGTAACTTACTAATATTAATTGATATCCTTGGACGCAAAAGAGAATACTGTGTGACAGTAATTGTACAAGTAGCATAAAACAAAATGTGTCTTCAAGCATTTCTAGACATCTTTTATAATAATTAATTATTTATAGATAATATGTTATACAAAATTATTTAGAATTTTTTAAAACGAATGTGAGGCATTCTTTTTAAACCGTTCCATCTATAAAAGACGATCGAAAGGATAGTATTTTTTAAGTGAATTTTATTTTGTGACAATCGAATTATTCATAATAAGGCTCATTCCAGGTGAAATTTTTATTACAAATTTTTTTTAAAACAATTTTTTGGAATTCAATTATAAAAAATAAGGAAACACGTATTTTTTTATTTTTTTATTGGATGAAAATTGTGGATGATGCGATTTTTTTAAATTCAACTTCTTTTGTTAATTTAATTTGTTTAAACAGAATTAAACAGAAATTTAATTTGTTTAAACAGAACAATTTTTGAAAGAATTAAATTATTTTTAATAAATTTTCAATAAAATTCCATGTAAGAATTGAATTATTTTCAATCAAATTTTAATTAATTTTGTCGAAAAAATTTGCAAGATGTCACTTATTTTCATAAAATAAGAAGTTTTCGCATGGAATTCAATAAATTATAATCAAATTTCTCGAAAGAATTTAATTTTTATTTAAATTTTAATAAATTGTTTGCAAAAATTAAATTATTTTTATAAATAATAAAATTCTTTAGTTGAATTGAGTTATTTTGAATATAATTTTAATAAAATTCTTCACAGGAATTCAATTTAATTATATTTTTATAAATAATAAAATTCTTTAGAGAAATTTTCAATTATTTTCAAAATTTTTTATAAAATTCTTTATAAGAATTCAATTATTGGCAATATAATTAATATTGAATTCATCGAAATAATTTAATTATTTATGAAAATACACATATATATATAATATAAATAAATAAAATTATTCAAAGAAATTCAACTTTTTTCAAAAATTTTAGTAGAATTCTATTCAAGAATTAAATTTAGATTTTAGATTCAAAATTATACAAAAGTTACAAAAAGTATATAATATAAAAAATTTTCAATTGAAGTTTTAAAAATTTTTAATTTTAATAAGTTTTAATTAAAAATTCTAAAGAAGTTAGGTTTTTAAACATTTTTATTAACATTTTTTTGAAATTAGTTGAATTTTTTAATACATGTTTAATTGAAAAAATTTCATATTGATGAAATTTTATGAAATTGAATTGTAATGAAGTGGATTTCAGAAATAATTCAGGTGCAATTTTTTTCATTGAATAAATAATTGAATTCTCAAGGAACTTTCTCAAAAATTATTAAAAATAATTTATATAGAGAAGATTTTTAGTTAAAAATTCTAGAAAAGAATTAAAATGTTAAAGATAGTTTTAGAAAAGTTAGATAAAAAAAAACTATTTCTGTTTTGAATAATTTTACAATTAAAGATATTATCGAAAATAAATGTATTGTATACATTTTTTTGTGTATATAATTATTTTTAGAGTAAAATGAAATATTTTTTAGGGTTAGGGAAAAAGTTATTATTAATTAATCAAATTAAATTATTTAAAATTAATTTCAAAAAACTTCTGTCTGGAAATCAGGGAAAAATAAAATGGAATTTTTTTGGCAACCCTGTATCGTTTTTTGTAGATATGAAACCATTTTTAAATAGAATACTCCATATAAAAAAATATTATTTATTTATTAAAGAAAATAATACAAGTTTCTGAAAGAAAATAAAAAAATTATCAAAAAACCTATTAATGTGTTCGTGCTTTTGAATGATGTAGCAAAGTCGTTTTTGAAAATTAGATGAAAAGTCCTTATCGATAATTCCATCGGTAGCGGTGATATTATGAATATTTAAATGCAAAATTCGAAATTGTGCGGCATAATGAAAACCAATTTGAGAAAAGAGACTGTCCGTTCCAGCGTTACAAAGATTGCCCAAAAGTGCTGCCGTATAGTCCAACATGTAAATGATTTCAAAAACAGGACTATAATTCCACTCGAATGGAAAATAGGCCTCAACTGTTAAAACTCGTGTTGCATTTGAATAGCCCGTGAACCAAACGTCAGCATTTATGTACGAAATTTGAAAGAAACGTGCAACACTCGTGGAGAATGCCATTAAAATATATATTTGCGATATTTTCCTACTAAACTGACTGAATTCGAGCATTATATTGCGCTCTTCCTCTGATTTTATATTGTTCCAATCCTGAATAATAAAGGCAAGAAGTTTTATCATCCCTAATTGGAAAAAAATTACTTTTCTTTACTTTTATTCTTTTTTTTCTTCTATTTTTTTACTTTTATTTATTTTATTTTTATTACTTTACTCTATTTATATTTTTTACTTATACTCTATTATTTTACTCTACTTCTATATTTTTACTCTCTTTTAACATATTTTACTTTTTCTGTGACGCTTTCCGACGAAGGGGACCTTTCGCAACGCAAAGAATTATTATAGGTTATGTTTGGGAAAGTTTTTGCTCGTTTTAAGATTGAATCTCAATTATCTAGTCAAAAACAATTTTTTATTAATTATTTACTATGTAAAATAGTAAATAAAAATTGTTTTCGACTTTAGATTATTAAAAATGAATCTTTAATTAAGTAAAAGATTTTCTAAACATAACCTATAATTTTTTTAAAGTTTTTTTCTCTCCGGAAGATGTCACACATTTAGTATTTATTACAAATATAGTGGTGATTTATCATTATCATTAAGTTCAAAAAAGAAACTAATTTATAAAAACAAATTCAAAAATTCTACGATAAAAAATTGAAATAAATAATACGTACTTTTTCTATAGCACCAAAGGCATGTCATTTTTGCCATGGCAACTAAAATTAATAATAAAGCACATGTCAAAATTTCTGACATTGCATCTACATCACCCCAGATTATAATTAATTGTACTGTTTGTGCTAAAATTACCACTGAAAATAGATATATTGCCATACCGATAAAGTGAATTTTTGCCAAATATTTATTTTTATGCGGATCGGGCCATACCCCAAGTAATTCAAGAGTCATTCGACTGAATTTCATAATATCGTCGAAAGCTGTATGTAAATAAATTTTTATTTTATTTAAACTAAATTTTGATTAATTATTAAAATTTAATTTAACATATTACATAAGAAAATTCATTGTTTAATGAAAAAAATTCTAAAAATTTCAGTTAAAAAAATATTTTTCTTAAGATTTATATAATTGAAAAGTAGTTATTTTATAGTTAATTTTTTATGTATTTTATATTTATTTTTATTATATTGGAGTTGGTATAAATTATTTTGATTATAAATGAAAGTTTTCATTTATTTTAATGTTAACGTCTTCAGTTAGCACACTGGGTCATTTTGACCTGAACTTTATTCGGGAATTGATTAATTCAATTAATTCGAATTGAATTGAATACAAATTAAAAGAGAAAAATTTTTTTTGCTTGGTATGAGAAAGAATGAGTAAAAATTGGAAAAAGTGATTTTATGAAAATATAAATGAAAGAAAAAAAAATGTAAATAATTTTTTTTTATTGAAAATAATTTTCATTTTTAAGCACATACACTTCTTGCCATTTATTATATACATATTATAGATAATTATATATGTATATATATATATAAGAGATAAATGAATGACGAGTTCACGTAAACTGAGAGACAATTGTTTTAAAAGTTTCTCGCACTTGAAAGGAAACGCGCATGTACAAGTGCATATGAATTTTTTTTCTGCATATTTTATGTATGTAAGTTAAATGTCTTTTTATTATAAAGTCCCCCTGTTAAATACATGTACTCTAACAATTAATATCTTTCAAGTCATAAGCAGCGGGTATAAATATTGCTAGTAAAAAATGTACATTGTGAATTTTATTAATAATTTTATTTAAATATATATTATTATTCTTGTATATTACATTTTCTATACAATGTATCTGAACTTTTATGCGCTTTTATGCGTATAAATTAAATTAGAAAATAAAATTTATTGTAGTGAAAGAAGTGATAAAATATTTTGAGGTAAACGAAAGCAAGTATGTACACAATAAATTGTCGTAAAAATACAGGAGTATAAAAATAATTATTTTTTATAACATTAGATTATTTTCTTAGTTATTTTTATATTTTTTATTTTTCTGTTTTTTAATTTCTTGTTTTTTTATTTTGTTTTTAATATTTGTAGTTTTTTATTTGTTTTAGTTTATATACTTTTTGTTTATTTTTATGCAAAAACGTTTTTTACTTGTTTCTCTATAAAATTTACTTTTTGCCCCTCTTGTATATTCCATAATTAAATTTTTTTGAATCATTTAATTTCGATTATTCATTGTTATTAGTACTGATAAATATCCCATTGAGGTTCGAAGAATCTAAAACATCATTAAATGTTTAATTAGTTAATCAATTGTACTAAAATTTTATTTTTCTTTCGAGATCAAATTAGAATAACGTATCAAACTGAAAAGAAAAAGTAAAATAAATTGAGTATTTTAATTATAATTTTTTAAAGAGTGTAGTTTATATTTTTGTCTTTTATTTGCAATCTGCAGTTTTAGAAATTATTTATAACAGAAGAAAGTAAAGTTCCTGAAGTTAGCGTCAATGCTGAGAATCAAAAACAATTTTTTTTTCTACGAAATCGAAAAAAAGACAATTGTTTTAAAGGTTTTTTGTTAAAAAAGTAACCTGACGGTTTTCTTAATTCCCAAACTGAATGAAATAAGTGAAATTAGTGCCATTTTCATCCCTAAAATCTCTGGACAATAGTTTTCGACGCTAACTTCAGGAACATAAAAAGTAATTTAATTAAATTGTTAGATCGAAACAAACTTTCAAATTTGAAAATTGAAATAACGGATTGCAAATAAAATTTTTTCTCATTTACCCTTCCGAATAATGCCAAATTGAGAACACAAAATTTGCCGGCAGTTATGGCGACTGGTTTTCTGCCACGTTGCATAATGAATAGAAGAAATTTCGCCTTTTTCAAAGGCAATTTATACCAATGGCAGTTGTAGGCAGCTTGGGCAAATTCGAAACTCTGAAAACGTGTTTTACAAAATTTATTATTTCATTCCTAATTTATTTAGTATTTTCAAAAAAATTTTTTTGGTACAATTTTTCTAAAACAATTTTTAATTTTATTGTCCTTTAAATTTTGTTTATCTGATCATGTTTAATTTTTAAAAAATGCCTCAAGTTTTAAATCATAACAAAAGAATACTTGGTAATGAAATTTTAAAATTCAAAGAAATAGTACAAATATTCTTTAGAAAAAAAAATTCATGGAAAATTCTTTGTCAGGGAAGAGATTTTATTAGAAAAGGTTTGTTTTAAGAAGTTAAAAAATTTTTTTAGAAAAACTGGTTAGAAAAATTGATTTTGAAAAAGGGAGGAAATTTAAAGTTATAGACTAAATTTACCTCAATTTGTAACATTTCCGCCATGTAGCAATAAATGTATAAATTTCCAATTTGATAAATAAGATAAGTTACGATAAATAGGACATCAAACAACATGGATTTTGAATTTTCCCTCGTCGAGTACTGAAAAAATTTTTTGAAAAGATTATGATGATTTAAATTCTAATTCAAATTCACCTAAGATTTTTTCTCGATATGTAAAATAATTAGTAAAAATGCTATGTATAATAAAAAAGTTATGGAAAAATCTATTATAAATTATTTACCAAAATAAGAACATATCCTTGTACACAAAACTGAAGACTACAGGCCAATAATTGCGCGACGAACATGATATTAAATGTGTTTTCTAGGATGTGAATGCATCTATTAAAAAAAAGAAAGGATTAAAATTCCTCATGCTAATGCTTTCGAATTTTATTAGGTACGTCGGAAATCTTACTAAACTTTTGAATAATTCAAGTGAAAAATTTTGTTTCGTTTAATTATTTTCAAAACCTTTATTAAATTAAATGTAAAATTAAAAAAATTACAAATAATGAAAAGTTTGTAATAAAAAAACAAGAAAATGAAGAAACCTGTTAATATGTTCATGAACTTGAATGATGCCCCTCAGTTGATTATCAAAATGAGTCCAAGATTTTATGTTTTCTGTTTTATTGACAAGATCCAAAAGTCTTAGTCGTAAAATATGATATTGTCCAGAGAGATGAAAGGCAATTTGACTGAAGAAACCATCAGTTCCGGTGTATGCAACCGTTGCTAAAAATGTGCCAACGTACTCGATGAAACAAGTTATTTCAAAAATTGGCGAATATTTCCAATTGTACGGAAAATAGGCTTCAATATACAATGTAAAATTTTTATCCTCATCATCATTTCTTCTCCACGTGTCAAAATTGATAAATATAATCTGTGGAATTCGAGCATGTACCGTCAATAGTCCCATAAAAATGCATAGAAACGATAATTTTCTTCCCGATTTTCCCGCCTTCAACATAATATTTAATTGTTCACTATTCACTATTTTATCCCATTCGTTGATGAACGATAGAAGAAGATTTGACATTTCTGTTCAAAAAAATAGTGTATGAAAGGAAAAAATTATTTTTCATTTGCAATTTTTTGAAAGGGTGCACAAATTTTTATACCACACGGAGAGACCCACATTCGTAAAAATTACTAAAAACGGTTGCAATGACCGGAAATAAGGGGACTTTTAGCATAATGTACTACAGAATTAGATAAATTTACAAAAGAAATAGATAAATTTGCTACATTGAAATAGCAAGTTTTAATATTTTGTGTAAGAGTTGTAAATGTAGCGAAAATTGATTATAGTTTTCTCTAATTTCGTTACACAAAATCTGACAAATGAAAACATTTTCCACTAAAACCTACGATCCACTGTAGTAATTTTTGGTGAGCAAGTGTGGCTAGCGAGTGCAGTCATATGGCGCCTGCATTTCTATTGGTTACTAACCTCGTCAATCTCCGTAAATGAGCCGATGCCATCCGATCATTGACAGTGACTATGTTTCGCGTACGTAAAATAAATTTGGATATTATCTACAATAATTAAATATAAAGTGAAACGTAGGTCGTTCGTTATCTCAGAAACTGACCATTGAAAATTAATAAATTTTGCATTTATTCCTGTCCCAAGAACTATGTCTTATAATAAGTTGTTAAAAGTGAACTGCTTTCTCGTAAGTGCTGTAAATTTTCATCATTCAATATATAAGGAAACAAAGATGTATGCTTTCAGTGAAATTCGTTGTCGTGCGTGCAGTTGTGTATTAGTGTATTAGTTAACCGCGTCTATACATATAAGTGAAATAAACATGTGTGTGTCTTCAAATATTTATCCAACAAATATATAAGTGTGTGTGTGTCTGTGTATGTAAAAATCCTTCCAGTTTGTCTCCATTAGTCAAGAATTGACGGGGAAACCGGCGACAAAAATCCGTATTTTTTCTTTTCACTCTTTCTTTCTGCATTTACAACGACTATAGTAATTTTACGTACACAATACTTCTGAGTTTACTACAGTTGTTTGGAACTATTGGACGAAATAGTAAGAAACATTGCTAATTTGGTGAACATTTGTCGGGATTAGTGACTTAGTGTAGAAAATAGTAAAAAATACAAAAAGTCCCCTTATTTCCGGTGGTTGCAATGTGAATATAGTAAATTCTAGTGTGATTTTATACAAAAATTAGTAATCTCGGTCTCTCCGTGCACGTTTTTATTAATTGTGAAAGTGTCTAAATTTGTTTATAAATAATTATAGAATTACGAATATTGATGAACATTTTGAGATTCAATATGGATAGACGCTACTATCCACCTGAGAACGCCAAGGTCACCGCTAGATGTCGGTTCAGTTGGTAAAATCAGACGCCACCTAGTGATGACCTTGGCGTTCTCAAGTGGAGAAATCAAGTCACCATTTTATGCCTCAAAAGCTTTTTTATAATTAAAAAAATGTTATTGTAAAACTACTTTAAATTGATAACTAAATATTTTTTTTCGTGTGAATTAAAAATTTGTGCGCTTTAAATATTTCTGCATACTTTCTTTATTGTATAGCAAGACAATCATCTTGATTAGAGCAACTGTGAATGGTAGTTCTGCAGTAGAGAGGATTTGACTGATGAGGTCCAGATTACCCCAGATTTGTATCAATCTTATGGCTTGGGGTAAAACCACACTAAAGAATGTAAATCCAAATGTTAGGACGAAGAAAAATTTTGCTAAAGTTTTGTTTTTACGTGTAGGCTCGGGCCATACGCCTAGCATTCCAAGACTTGCACGACTGTACGTTGAAAAATATTCTAGAGCTATTTGCAAAAAAAAAAAATAAATAAACAATTCGTTTTTGTTTATCATTATAGCCAACTATAGTTGGCGTCGAAGCTCAGCGCCGAAAATTTTTATTTGGGTTTTGAAAATTTCACTAATTTAACTTCTTTTATTCACTTGTAGAGCTAAATTATTTTTAGACCACTTTTGTAAATTTGTAATACAAAATCTAAGAAAAGATGGTTTATTCTTTTCGATTTAGCAAATCAAATAAATATTTAAACAAAATATGTTCAATTTTAATGATTCGGGGTTTTCACTTAAGCCAAAGTACTTTTCTTCGGTTTGTATAAAAAAATTCAAAAACAAATGTTTGAAAAAGAAAAATATTTTGTATTTCTGAGAATTAATTTTCCTACCACGTTTGCCATCCATTTTAGCGTCCGTTTTAGAAAAATTCATTTTTATTTTGAAATTTTACTTATTCTTTTTTTTTTTTTTTAAGAAATAGTCATAGTGCTTCCGCATATAGAGGAAGTATTTTTATTCTTTTCTTATATTTTAGACGTTTACTTAAGTTCAAGTAAAACTATATGGTTAAAAGATTATGGGAGGGTATAAAACTCGAAACTAAGTTTCGATCCATATTTCGTGGAAAAGAAAATAAGGAAGTAAAGTTGAGCCCATACTTTTGGCAAAATTATCTAATGACAAATGATTTTCAATCGTTACACTACTTATGTTCATCAAAATCTTTAAATATTTATAATCCTAGATTAGAGAATTGTATGCTTAGAATTATTAAACCAAAAACAAGCATGCGCATTTCGTTTCATTCATATCGGAGTCTTGTTCTTATTTCTGCCTTGTCCATTAATCCTAGATTGATAAAATAGATAACAGAATCTTAATAAGTTTGATTTTTCTATTCAATTTCTTGTTTTTCTTAACAGAGTAATTCTTAAAATTATTTAAAAATTAAAAATTAATTTTTTTTTGGTTCATTACAATTACAATACAATTTTATTACGTTCATTACAATTTATCATTTGTCATCTATCAATTTGCCAATCCAAGTGTCTTCTGTTTCTTTAGAATATTCACTCTATTGCGACAATTAATGTTTATTAATCACTTGTTTATGAAACGAATAGTTAAAGTGTGCGTAAAGACGGACAAATTTTTGTTTTACAAAAATAATTATTTTTTTTATTAATCGGGATCCATATTGAAATAAAATTGAAGTTTAAATAAATAAACAAATTTCGTTCATTCGATTGCTCAGAACGTTAGGGCACCTTAGCGACATTCGGATGGAGTGTTAATAACTACAAAATTAATTACAGAATAATCTATTTATTTTCGTTTACTGTAATAAGCACTTCTTTAAGTACATCTGCTATTTATGCAAATTTATTCAACCATAAAGCACAAAATATTGTAACATTGTAAATAAAAGGATTTTTCGTTTTTCCTTATTTTATCTTTAAATTTGAATTAAAAATGTTTTACTAATTTGAATTGGTGATTGACTTTCTGCTTTTGAATTAGTATTTCACTAATAAAGTGTCACATCTACTGATTTATTAGTAAAATTTACTAATTCTGAAGCAAAAAAATTTATTTATATTAGTTTTTGACATAATTTATGACACTAAAGTATTTTGTGCTTTATGGGACGACTACTCACTAAATAACATTAAATATTGTTAAACTATTTCATTGAAAATAATAACATTGTTATCATTTCGTAACGCTGCAATATATAATCTCTTCGAAATCAACATGTTCTATAAACTTCATCTTGCAAACCATTCAAATTTACTTTATAAAACCATTTCTCATAGTCCTTATTTATTTTTGAAATTCTTTATCCAGTGTTCTTTTATGCATCTTTTTTGGAAAACATTAATTACTGTGTTTCATTGTTATTAAAAATGACAAATATCCGAGTGATGTTTTAACAATCTAGAATTATTTACGCAATGATTAATAATAATAAAAATATTGTTAGGATAAACATTCATGGTTTATTTATGTTTAATATGCCATGAATGTTTCTCCTTACAATATGTTTATTTTTGGTCATTTATTGTACAATAATAAGCAATGAAATTAACGAATTTTATTTTCTTTTTCAGGTAAGCAACTTTATAAATGATAATAACGCACACTTCCAAATAGTCTAAAGTTGAAGACGAAAAATTTTCCAGCCGTTATTTCTACAGGTTTGTTTCCACTTTGCATTATTAAAAGAAGACATTTTGCTTTCCGCGATGGTAAATTGAACCACTCACAAATGTATGTCGTGTCGGCAAAGGCATAACTCTATTAAATAATAATAATAAGTGATTAGTATAAATATTTTTTTAATTTTACGCAGTAAAAAGTAAATCTTAATTTAAGATCAGTCTTAAATTCAGCACTGTCTGCTCTAATGTTAAATCATACAAAATCCATTGCTTAAATTCAGCATTGACTGCCTTAAAAATGTTGCGTCTTAATTTAAGGCTACTTTCCTGTCTTAAAATAAGACTTTCTTTTCACTGTGATAGTATAAATTCTTTTTGGTGCATATTTAATTTAATATTTTTAATTTAAGTTAACTATATATCTTACTTCCATTTGTAACATTTCAGCTAAATAGCAATAAATGTAAAAATTGCCTATTAGGTACATGGAAAATACTACTATAAAAAAGATAGATGGTAACATTGAAAGACGATTTGGATGACTTATGTACTGAAAAAAAGGTTAAACCATTTTTGAGAAAAATTATATTAATTCTGATTTTACTTTTTCTGGCATTTTATACTTCTGGGAAAGTTTAAGTTTAAAAACTTTAAAAATATAAAAGAATGTACTTACCAAAACAAGAAAGTAAGCTTGGAGACAAAATTGTATCGTACAAGCGAGTAGCTGTGCAAGGAACATTACACAGAAATTGCTTTCTATTATTTCAACGCAACTATCGTACACGAGAGAAAAATATACTTTTGTTAAATTTATAATAACAATTATATAATTTAACTAGTTAAATTATCTTTAAAGTCCTAGATCTTTTATCAAATAAGGTAAATAAAACGAAAACATTCGGACAATGAATAAAAATATTTATTTACTCCAACGTTTTGAAATCTAAATGATTTCCTCTTCAGGGAGTCTATCCAAAAAATACATACAAAATTGAAATACATAATAATAAAAAATTAATTTAAGAATAAATAAAAATTCATGAATATTTATCTTATCAAAAAATAATAATTAAAATAAACGAAGACTTAAATTTTATGCCCTGACGATATTTAATTTTGACGAATTACGAATTTTAATTTTGTATATATATTTTGGATAGACTCCCTGAAGAGGAAATCATTTAGATTTCGAAACGTTGGAGTAAATAGATATTTTTATTCATTGTCTGAATGTTTTTGTTTGATTTACTTTATTTTATAATTTAACTAAATAATTGAAAAAGAAACAGAGAAAAGTGCGACAGTATTGAAGCAAATTGAAGTATGTTTTCAGAAATTGCTTTAATTCTGTCTGATATTAATGCCATATTAATTCAAAATTTTAATATTTATGCTATTAATCAGTTTTCGGTTGTTCCTAAGAAAGGAAAACAAGATTGAATTTTTTTTTGTAAAATTCGCTTTTTAATAATTTTAGATAAAAAGAATCTAAATGTTCAAAAATTAAAAGACTACCAAGTTTTGAACGTTCAAATGTACGAAATATTTTTCACTAAAAAATATTTTCTTAAATTATTGATTGTAATAAGAATTAAAAATCTAAAGTTAACATTGAGAAAATTTATAGTTAACTTTTTTTAATACCAGACAAAATTATTGTTATAAAATTTTAATTTTAAGATGAAATAAATAAATTTCGTTCACTTGAACGTTCAGAATTTTAGGAACATAAAATTAACTGGGTGCTAGTTTCAGCTTCTTGAAAAATAATAAACTTTTCGATAACAATTTTTTTTATAGAAATAGATGATGTGGAATCTTTCTAAAAGTATTTTTAACTGAAAATTTATAATTTGCTTACAGAAAAAATATTTTTTGACAAATGTTGATCATAAACATTAGTAGACAGATTTTGAGATATAGTTAGTGATACATTGAGTAATGAAAACAATAGATCATGTTTCACTACTTAATGACAAGGAGCGTTATTTAGAGCAAAAAACTTGTCGTTTAATAAAATAATTATTAAATAATGGAAATTATGTTATCGCACCAATTTTGATTCGTTTTTTGTCTCAATTTGTTATCCTTAGAAAGAAACGTATCCCAAAATATTATTTGACATAATAGTCACGAGACGCATGCTTATTCCCGAAATCCTTTTTGACCAAATAGTTATTTGATATAAAACTACTTAAATTAAAATTCACATAATATGCACATTATTTGACATAAATTTCATTGCACACAAAAACCATTTAACATAAATATAATTTGTCATAGAATTCATTAAACAGAAATATCATGTTACATAAAACTCAGATAACTTAATTCCCATTTGACATAAAAATTATGTAACATAAATTTCTATTGACATAAAAATCATTTAACATAAATTTCTTTTCACGTAAAACTCATTTAACGTAAATTTTAATTGATATAAAATTAATTTTACATCAATTTCATTTGGCATAAATGTCATTTAACGTAATTTTCATTTGACGCAAATATCATTAGACATAAAATTAGCTTGACATAAATTTCATTTGACGTGAATATCATTTCACGTAAAATTAAATTTATACAAATTTCATTTAGCATAAATGCCATTTAACATAATTCTCATTTGACATAAAATTTACTTGACATAAATTTCATTTGGTATAAATCCCATTTAACATAATTTTAATTTGACATAAAGTTCATTTGATATAAAAGACATTTAACACAATTCTCATTTGTCATATAAAAGTCATTTAACAAAATTCTCATTTGACATAAAAATCATTTTACACAAATTACTTTTTACATAGAAATATCGGCGCCAATTTTAAAAGTAACCAATTAGATATTATCAACAACATTGTGATTCGCCAATTTTGAAATTCGCGCCTATATTTCTATGTCAAATGATCTTTATGTAAAATGAAATTTATGACATCTGAATTTTATGTCAAATGAGAATTATGTGTAATGACTTATCCGTCAAATGAAATTGATATCAAGTGAACTTTATGTCAAATGAAAATTATGTTAATTGGGATTTATACCAAATGAAATTTATGTCAAGTATATTTTATGTCAAATGAGAATTATGTTAAATGGCATTTATGCTAAATGAAATTTATATAAATTTAATTTTACGTTAAATAATAATTATGTTAAATGATATTCACGTCAAATGAAATTTATGTCAAGCTAATTTTGTGTCTAATGATATTTACGTCAAATGAAAATTACGTTAAATGACATTTATGCCAAATGAAATTGATGTAAAGTTAATTTTATAACAAATAAAATTTACGTTAAATGAGTTTTATGTCAAAAGAAATTTATGTTAAATGATTTTTATGTCAATAGAAATTTATGTTACATAATTTTTGTGTCAAATGGGAATTAAGTTATCTGAGTTTTATGTAACATAATATTTCTGTTTAATGAATTCTATGACAAATTATATTTATGTTAAATGGTTTTTGTGTGCAATGAAATTTATGTCAAATAATGTGCATATTATGTGAATTTTAAGTTAAGTAGTTTTATATCAAATAACTATTTGGTTAAAAAAGATTTCGGGAATAAGCATGCGTCTCATAGTCACTTGACATGAAACCATTTAACATAAATTTCATTTGACATCAAATCTATTTGGCATGAAAAACATTTAATTTGAAATTCATTTGACATAAATTTCATAACACATACAATTGATATTGCATAATTAGCATTTGATATAATAACCATTTGACATATATTTCATTAGATATAAAATTTATATAACATATATGTCATTTGACATAGAATTAATTCAACATATATTATATTTGACATAAAACTCATTTTTATCATAATTTCCATTTAACGTAAAAATACACTTTATATGTCTTTTATTTCACATAAAAATCACTTGGCATAAATTTTAATTGACATAAGTTTTATTTGACAGAAAATTTATTTGAGGTAAAATTTATTTAACATATGTCATTTGACGTAAAATACATTTGATATAAATTTTATTTTGACCTAAAATTCATTTGTCATAAATTTAATTTTTAACAAAAATTTCATTTGGCATGAATATAAATTTCATTTAACATAAATGTCATTTAGTATAATTCTCATTTGACATAAATTTAATTTGACATAAAGTTCACTTGACATAAAAGACATTTAACATAATTCTCATTTGACATAAAATTCATTTGACATAAAAGTCATTCAACAAAATTCTCATTTGACATAAAATTTATTTCACATACATTACATTTGACATAAAAATACCCGCGCTAATTTTAAAAGAAACGAATAAGATATTATCAACAACATTGTGATTAACCAATTTTGAAATCCGCTCCTATATTTTGATGTCAAATGATCTTTATGTAAAATGAAATCTATGTAAACTGAATTTTACGTTAAATGAGAATTATGTTCAATGATTTATGTCAAATGATATTTATATCAAGTAAATTTTATGTCAAATGAGAATCTTGATCATGAAATTTATGTCATGTGAATTTAATGTCAAATGAGAATTATGTTATAGAATTTTATGTCAAATGAGGATGACTTTTATGCCAAATGATATTCATGTCAAATTAATTTTATGTCAAATAAAATTTATGACGAATGAATTTTATATCAAATAAAATTTAAGTTAAATGAATTTTATGTCAAAAGAAATTTATGGTAAATGATTTTTATGTCAAATGGGAATTAGGTTAAACGGCATTTATGCCAAATCAAATTTAAGTCAAGTGAATTTTATGTCAAATGAGAATTATGTTAAATAATATTTATGTTAAATGAAATTTATGCCAAAGTGAATTTTATGTCAAATGAAAATTATGTGATAGAATTTTATGTCAAATGAAAATTATGTGATAGAATTTTATGTCAAATGAGGATTATGTTAAATGATTTTTATGCCAATTTTGTGTTAAATGACTTTAATGCCAAATGATATTCATGTCAAATTAACTTTATGTCAAATAAAATTTAAGTTAAATGAATTTTATGACAAAAGAAATTTATGTTAAATGATTTTTATGTCAAATGAGAATTATGTTAAACCGCATTTATGAGAATTATGTGATAGAATTTTATGTCAAATGAGAATTATGTTAAATGACTTTTATGCCATATGAAATTTATGTCAAATGAAATTTATGACGAATGAATTTTATATCAAATAAAATTGAAGTTACATGAATTTTATGTTGAATGATTTTTAAGTCAAATGGAAATTAATTATGAGTTTTATGTAACATAAAATTTATGTGAAGTGAATTTTATTAAAATTCATATTTATGTCAAATGGACATTGTGTGCAATGAAATTTATGATAAATAATGTTTATATTATGTGGAAATTAAGTTTAATGATTTTATATCAAATAACTATTTTGTCAAAAAAGTTTTCGGGATTAAGCATGCGCCTCCTTAGAAAATCTGTGTTTTAGTATTTTTTTTAATCATTTTTATGATTGTTTTCATAACTTATTGATTCACTAATTCAGAGTTCCTCTACAGCTTCGATAAAATAAAAAACCTAATCTAAAAATGCTATTATTTTAAACATGAAATATTGAAAAATAACCTGTTTATGTGATAGTGAACAGTAATAATATTGCCAAATTCCATATTGAATGCGGAATCACATTTAAACTTATGAAAATTATTGATAAGATATAAGAGTCTCAGACGTAAAATGTGATATTGCGCCGCATAGTGAAAAGATATTTGACAATAGATACTGTCTGTTCCACTGTAAGCAAAAGTCGCACAAATTGTTCCGATATACTCGAAACAACACAGAAACTCAAATGTTGGACTATAGTTCCATGTGAATGGAAAATATGCATCTGCAAATAGTGTAAAATTTTTGTTTTCCTCTGGACTATTCCAATTTGGTATGTTCTCGAGGATCCACTGAAACAGACGAGAGTTGACTGTAACGTGACCCATAATTACGCAGATCAGTGAAAATATCCTTCCCTTTTGACCATTTTTAAGCATTATGTCCAATTCTTCATTACTTTTTTTGCTGTTCCAATGGTTCGACATGTCATTGTACAAAAACGAGAGTTCTAAAAGAGAATTAAAAAGGGAGGATTAAAAAATTCTTGATTAAATTACTTTACAGTAATTTATTAAATTATTTTTATCAAACCAACTGTTGCTTCCAAATAAAGCTGAAACTGCAATTATCATCGCCTTTTTAATTTTTAAAATTAAATTTTAAAGTTAAGTTTATTTTTTTAAGCCAAGGTAGAATTTTGAAAAAATTAAGTGGGTACTGATAACAGGGTGCAAGTTGTCAGCGCCTTTTTTATTTCGGAAATTAAATTTTAAAGTTAAATATATTTTTTTAAAGCCAAGATAAAATTTTGAAAGAATTAAGTATGGATGCTGATAATAGGGTACAAGATATTAGCGCCTTTCTAATTTCGGAAATTAAATTTTTTAGTTAAATCTGTTTTTTTTAAAGCCAATATAAAATTTTAGAAAATTAAGTGGGTGCTGATAACAGAATTAAAGTTAAATTAAAGAAATAAAAGTTAAAATTTAATTTTCAAAATAAAGTGGTTGGATAATTGGGTGCCAGTTTTAGCTTCATTGCCTGTAAAAAAATTGTCAACAAACTATATTTTCAGTTAATGTATGTAAAAGATCCGATTTTGTAAAAACTTAAAAATCATTCTTATCTCCCTTAATTTCCAAATATTCAAATGAACAACATCTTTTAATTTTAAAAATTTAAATTGTATGATAATTATTGCGCTAAAACAAATAATTCAAAAAAGTTTCATAATGTTTAACTTACGTTTTTTTAAAATTTTTATTGAAGTTGGAATAATTTTTCAAAGTACAATTGAAAAAATATTTCGTTCACTTGAATTTTTGGAGTAATCATTTTTCTCAATTAAAAAAATAAATAAAGAAAAAGGAAATTAACATTATGACACTAGTAATCGTGCAACTAAAATTTGAACGATGTGATGATTTTTCAATACAAACTTTGCTTATTCCGATAAAGGACAATCATTTTTGTCAAAGAAACGATGAATGGCAATTCGGCTGTGCATAAAACATTACTCAAACGATCCAAATCCTGCCAAACTTGAAATAATCTGCAGAATTGAGGAATGAGTACACCAAATATTAGACACAAACTACTGATAATTAATAATCCTCTGGATAATATTTTACTCTTTTGAGTAGGCCAAGCGCCAAATGTGCTGAGGCTTATTCGAGAGAATGACGTGAGGAATTCCAAATAGTCATTATCTTTCAAAGAGAATTAAATCAAAAAAGAAATTAAGTTTATATTTAAATTAATTTTATATATTAAAATATTATAATTGTAAATATTAGAAATTAAAAATATTGTAAACAAAATTCTTTCCATCGCCAAAAGAATAGAAACAAAATGTGTTTTGTTTAGAAAATATCATTTCGCTTTTTTACCTCCCATTTTTTGGTCTGTTTTTTCCTCCATTTTGTAAAAAGTTTCCTCGATTTTGTTTCGAAAAATAAAAATTATATTTTTACACTTTTTTTTTTATTGAAAAACTTTTTTTTAACAAATTTTTTTTTATTTGGAGAAAAATTTCGGTCTTAATAAAACAGGGAATGAAGTATGTTTAAAATGATATTTTATACTACACGAATGAAATTTACAGTTTAGGGAATAATATAAATAATACAAAGTAGTAGAAACATTGTAAGTATATTATAAATATACCGCAAAATAAAATAATTGAAGGTATTATTTTCAGGGAAATTAGAGAAAAGAATAAGGAAGCATAAAACTTTGTCTCCAATTTAGGTAATAAGGAATCATTTTGGTATCATTTTTTGTAATCATGCTGAATATTGCAAAGAGACTTCCCATTATATATTTATGTCATTTTACTTTGTTTTTGACATGCGCATTGAGCATTCTTGGAATTTTTGCACTTTATCGTTTGTTCCCATCAAAGATGTCATGTGTGAAATATATTTACGAGTCCAAAGATTTTACACAAGGGAAAATTTTGAACACTTATTTTTATTCTCAAGTCTGTTTATTGTGCTTCATTCGTCATTATTATCACTGTTCTGTAATAAAACACTGTAGAAATTTTCCTTGAGTATTGAATGAACGTTTTTTTTAATTAGTGCATTTATCACCAGTGGTAAAATAATAAGACATTACAATTTTAGTATAATTTGAATTTATTTCAAAGGTGTCATAATTTTACTTATGTTAAAATACAAATAAAAATAAGAAATAATTGAGATGAAACAAATTTTCAACAAAATTTTCTGATCAATTGTTTGAAAAAAAATTGCAAACGAATGTGTGAAGTTTATGTTCTATGAGAATAGTGTTATTTTACATTTTAATCAAACAAGAAATATTTTATTCTTTATTTTAAAAATCATGGTGTCTGACTACAGGTGCAACCATTGTCGATGATTACATAATCATAAATATTAAAATTTATAGGATTTAAATATTGTATTATTAGCTTCTTCTTCTTCTTCTTCTCTTTTTTAATTCAATAAATTGAATTCTCCTTTCATTGACTTTCCTTCATAGTTATTAGAAATGACAAGTATCCGAGGGATGTTTTGACAATCTGAAATTATAAACACAATAATATAAATCTCGAATTATTCACCATATTTAAGTCAATTAAATTATTTTAACCAGTTTGAATCCTGCATTGATTTGAATATGTTTTAAATATTTAAATAAGAAAATTTTTGTTTATGTCGCCTCGCGAAGAAAGGAACATAAGTAGAAAAATTTTAGAAGTTAGGTTTGTTATCTTTCTTGAATAAAGAATTTTTTTTTAATTTTGTAAAATAAAAAGAAAAATTTATTTAATATTTTAAATGCAATGAAAGCTTTAAAGTAATTAGTGAGAATTGAGAGTTATTTTCACTAAAAACCTAACAAAAAAAACCTGAAAGATTTTACTTCACAATTCTGTTTTCTTATATCCCTTTTTTCGCGATGGATCACATTTTTTTCGTATATTTAAAATTTATTAACATTTTTCGTAATTTACTGAAAATAACGTGTTTTATTTTTTTCAGGTACGGAACTTTAAATGATTACCAAACGTACACTTCCAAATAGTTTGAAGTTGAAAACGAAAAACTTCCCAGCCGTTATTTCTACAGGTTTGTTGCCACTTTGTATTAATAAAATAATTAATTTTGCTTTCTGCGAGGGTAAATTGTACCATTCACTTTTGTATGCTGTGTCCGCGAACTCGTAACTCTAAACATATTTTTATTATTAGGATTAGATCATGTTTAAATCATTATATTAATTAATTATATTAGTTCTAGAATTATATTAATGTTAAAATAATATGTGACGCTCCACGGTACCTAAAGTATAATAATTTTATATTTTAACTCTCAGTGAAAAATAATATTATTTAAATCCTTAATACTGTTACGTGAAAAGTAACTCACCTCTTAACATTTGTAATCCTCGTTTTAAATAAGAAATTCCGAAGAAATCTTATTTTGGAATGAGGAAAAAGAATCAATGAAAAAGTTTAAGAGTTAGTTAAATAAAATTTATTGTATAAAAATTGTATAATGGTTTCTTGAAGTTCGTTATTTGTATCTTGCCGAGAGAAGACCAGTTCCCTTTCCAATAAACACCTTTAACAAATAGGCGTTTATTAGATATAGAAATTGTATTGAAAAGATATGATGAAAAGATTTAGTTACTAATTACCTTTATTGCTTCTATTCGAACCTGGAAACCCGTTCTCCGCTCGTGCGTCCACAGTCAGCTCAGATGCACCGCCTTTCCAATTTTACTGCTTTGGAGATTGACAAGAGGTTGCTCACTCACGAGATGGGTATTACTTGAACTGGGATTTTCGTAGGTTACGAGTATAGATTCGCACTGACTACTGGTACATAGATGATGTCGATCGCTTTGATTTAAATTAGATACTGATTTTTGGATCCAAATTTAGGGCCTTATATACCCAAATCACATCCGTGTATCGACGTAATAGGGTTGTAAAAAGATTGCTCATCAATGGGTGTTTGTCAAGTTTGCTTGGTAACAGGACTGGTCTAAGGTTACTTAGAGGTCACACACGTGGCATGTGACAATACATTCAAAATAGTCAACAAAAATTATTATTTATTTTCTGAAATTAAAAAAAGCTCCACTAATGAAAGTGATACAATCGTAAGCATTACTTAACTCATTTTTTTTTTTTTGAGAAAGGTACTCATTAAACCGTTGAACGTCACATATTACGAAACATTAAATTTTAGATCTAATTTTAATGATTAAATAATTATTTAATCATAAAGATAGTTAGATAGGTCACTAAAGAAATTAGTGACACTTTTTTCTCTAAAAAACCATAAATAACAAAAAAAATTTACGAAGAGCATCGATGTCAACTTCAGAGACATAAAAACGTACCAAAAATCGATAAAGAAATACTTTTAAAATTTAATATAAAATAACATATATCTTACTTCCACTTGTAACATTTCAGTTAAATAGCAAAAAATGTAGAAATTTCCGATTTGATGCGTGCAAAATACCAGTATAAATAGAACAGCTGGTACCAGTGAAAAACTTAGATGCTTCAAGTACTGAAAGAATTTTTAACAATTTCATTGAAAAATATACAATTAAATTACTTAGCTCGTTTGTCATCACATTTTTTCCAAAATTTATATCGTGACGAAACATTTAATTATTTTTAAAAGATGTTCTGATTTTTCTTTTCCACAAAAAAAAACACGAGTCGGAAAAGTTATTAATTTTAAATTGCGAATTATTTTCAGTTAAAATATCAATTTAGTTCAGAAAAAATTATTATTGCACTATTTTTAAGAATAATGAAAATTTATGCTTACCAAAACAAGAAAGTAACCTAAGAGACAGAACTGTAGAGTACTAGAAAAAAGCTGTACAAGAAACATTAAATAGAAGTTACTTTCTATTATTTTGATGCAACTATTGCAAAAAATGATAAAATATTTTTCATTAGAATTAAATTAACTCAATTGGTATTTTGTGTTATGTAAAATTTTGATAGAATGTTAATAATTTAAGCTGATATGAAATCAGAGCTATTAGAAATTATAATTTTTTTTTTAAATAAAAAAAATCGTATTTTTTTAATGTAAATCAAATTATTTCTATATATTGATAATTCGATAATTCTTCGAGACCTATCATAAAATTATTACTTAAAAAATATTTCATGAATAATTTTACTTAAATATTTCAAAATCAATTGAATTTTAAAAGAGTTGCGTTTACAATTTTCATAAATAGATGAACTTCAAAGGGTTTCAATTTGAAATTTTAAAAAAATTACAATTTTGAATGAATTTCATTAGAAATTTTAAAGAATAAGTTTCAAATTTCTGAAAAAATTCTAATAATTCACATTCTTCTGAATCTAGTAAAATTTTTTAATTATTAAAAATAATGGATTTATAGAAGAAGTTTAGTTAAAAACACTAAAAAATAATTGAATTTTGGAGAGGTGAATTGAATAATTTCAGAAATTCAATTATTTTCAAAAGTAATAAAATTCTTCGCAGAAATTCAATTATGTTCAAAATTTAAAAAAATTCTATTCAAAATTTCAATTATATTAAAATAAAATTCTCTAAAATTGAATTATTTTTAAAAATTTTAATAAAATTCTTGGAAAAATTTTAATTATTTTCAAAAAATTTTCTTAATTCAATGGTTTTCAATATCTACTATTTTAATAAATTTTTCCAAAAGAATTCAATTATTCAAAAAAAAGGTTAACAAAATTCTACATAAAAATTTACTTATTACTCATCGCACAATTTTAATGATTTTTAATGCAATTTTAAACAAATTCCTGGAAAGATGTAACTATTTAAATTTTTTTTTTTAAATTCATCCAAAGAATTTAATTATTCAAAACTTTTTGATTAAATTCTTTAGGAGACTTCAATTTCAAAAAACATTCATTTATTCATTAAATTATTTATTTTTGTATTTAAATAATTGAATTCTCTTAGAATTTTCTAATGAAAATTGATTTAAAAAGGAAACTTTAGTTAAAATTTTATATAATAATTGAATACTAAAAGCATTATAGTGCGAATTAAATTTTTAGAAATAATTGAATTTTGAAAAGGTTTTTAAAGTCAATTTAAAATTTTTTTAAAATGAAAACATGTCTTTGAATAAAATCTTGATTTAAATAATGATTTACATCATAACAGCCGAGTATTAAATCACCATGCATTTTATTGAAATTGAAAAAAAATATTAATTTTCCTTTTAAGAATAAAATATAGTCAAATATTTTTGCTTCTCCCACCAAAAATGCTATTAAAATTAAAAAAAATACCTATTGATATTATAGTGAGTGGTGATAATGTTACCAAATTTTTTATTAAATTCTGAGTCACATTTGATGTTATCAAAATTATTAAGAAAATGCATTAGTTTCAAACGTAAGATGTGAAATTGTGCTGTGTAGTGAGTAGATATTTGACTAAAATAGGCGTCTGATCCACTATAAGCGCATGTCGCCAAAATTATTCCAATATATTCGAAAGAAGTTACAAATTCAAAAGCTGGATTGTAATTCCATGTGAAAGGATAATATGCATCAGCAAATAGTGTATAGTTTTTGTAATACTCTGGACTTCTCCAGTTTGGTATGTTCTCCAAAATCCATTGAAACATTCGAAATGTGACTGTTACGTGACCCGTTACAATACATATCAGCGAAAATCTTCTCCCTTTTCGACCATTTTCAATCATTATATCTAATTCCTCGGTACTTTTTTTCCTCTTCCAATCAGCCATCATATAATCGTAGAGAGTTGTCATTTCTATAAGAAAGATCAAAATTTAACTTTCTATTAATCTCTTGGTTGTAATTTAAAGAACTTTATTATAGTTTCTGTAAATTGAATTTTTAAAAAAGTGCACGTTTTGCAATATTACGTTTTTTTTCTGTTGGTGTTGATTTTATGAAAAAATGTTTTTTGCATTTTATAAATTTGATACAAACTTTTCTTATTGCGATAAAGTACAATCATCTTTGTTGAAGCTACTATAAATGCAAGTTCCGCTGAACATAAAACATTACTCAAACGATCCAAATCTTGCCAAACTTGAAAAATTCGACAGAACTGAGGAATAACCACACCGAATAGTACACAGAATAGACTAATAGTAAATAGGCCTCTTGATATTGTTTTATTTTTCTGAGTAGGACAAGCGCCGAAAGTGCTGATGCTCATTCGAGAGTAAAAAGTAAGTTCTTCAAAGTAGTTTGTATCTTGAAATAATTTTAAATAATAATCAAAACACTCACTTAGATTTGAATTAATTCAGTTATTATTTGTTCAAATTATTAAACCTGTCCCTGAAATTGACTTGATGCTCAGCATCGAAAAAGTACTTTTAAATGTTTTTTACTTTCTACGTGAATAAAAGAAGTGAAATTTGTTAAAATTTGTGAAATAAGACATTATTCTTAGTAAAAATAATAAAAATTTATGCACATGAAGTTAACGAAACAACTTTCTCAAATCATAATGGCGCCTACTCGATAATTTACCGTTAAGTATTCACTAATTAGTGGTAAAAAAATTATTTTGTCGTTTTTATGCAATTAAAAATTTTTTTAGATGCTGAGCGTCTACGACAACTTCAGAAACCTTCATTTATTTCGTTGTATTATTTTTACCCTTTATTTCTGCTGATTTTATCATTTTTTTACATTTTTATTTTCTCTTTTTCTTTTTTATATTAATTAAATTAAATTAAATTGAATTACTTTCCCGTACTAAAGAAAAAATTGTGAAAAAGTGATTCTTCTCGAGAAAGAAAGAATAAAATTTATATGAAATTCTACATTACGATTGAGTAAAATTAAAAGTTTTTATGGAATAATATGTGTAATACAAAGATGTTGAAATATTGTAGGTATATTATAAATATAGCGTAAAATAAAATAATTGAAGGCATTTCAGTTTCATGAAATTAGAGAAAAGAATAAGGAAACATAAAACTTTGTATCTAATTTAGGTAATAAGGAATGATTTTGTTATCATTTTTTGTAATCATGCTGAATATTGCAAAGAGACTCCCCATTATATATTTATGTCATTTTACTTTGTTTTTGACATGCGCATTGAGCATTTTTCTTGGATTTTTTGCACTTTATCGTTTGTTCCCATCAAGATGCCATGTGTGAAATATATTTACAAGTCCCAAGATTTTATAAAAGAAAAAATTTTAAATATTTATTTTTATTCGAAAATTTGTTTTTTCATCGTTATTATCAATGTTCTGTAACAAAACTGGAGAAATTTTCCTTGAATATTGAAAAAATGTTTTTTTAACCAGTGCATTAAGAATATCATCAGTGGTGGAATAAAAAGACATGTAAATTTTATTACAAATCGAATTTATTTATTTAAAGAGAAATCAACAGTTTTGAAATAATTTAGTCGAAACAAAGCTTTTTCAAAATTTCGTGATCAATCGTTTAAAATAAAAAATTGCAAACGAATATTTTTTATAGTGAATTTTTTTCTAATTACTGAAAAGATTATTGATAAAGTTATAAGCATAACAAATATATTACCGAAATTAAGAATAAAGCTTTCATTCAGAAATAAGTTTTAAAAATAATATTTTATAATTTAAATATATTTTTTTGTTTAAAATATTAAAAATACTTTTTCTATTTTTCTTCCATGTATTCAGTATTAGTCGTAGGAAAATATTAGTTTTCTGCATTCGATAAGAATATCCACATGTTTTGAAAGAGGTCAAATGAACGAAATTTTTTTATCAGTAAAAATATTTATATAAATATTACCGACTGTTAGAAAAAAAAGAAAATTAAATATTTAGAATCTTCATGATTTATCTATTTTTTCCATGACGCAATATTATTTAAAATAAAATTTTTATTTTATGAAGAAAAAAATAAATTTTGTTCATTTGAACGTTCAGGACTTTAGGGACAAATAAGATGGATACTTATTCTTCTTTCAATGACTCTTTTTCATAGTTATCAGAAATGATAAATATCCGAGAGATGTTTTTATAATCTAAAATTATTATATATAAAATATAATATACACATCTAAATACATTTTTTTATATACACAACAATAAGAATAAGAATAATATACATTATTTATGTCAATTAAATTACTTAACGAACTTGAATAAATTGTCTTAAATTTATTTTAAGTTTTTGAAATCTAGAAATTTTTATTTTTTTTTAAATTTAAAATTTGTGAATAGTTTTTTTCAATTATTGAAAGTAAAGTGTTTTATTTTTTTCAGGTAAGGAACTTTAAATGATTACCAAACGTACACTTCCAAATAGTTTGAAGTTGAAAACGAAAAACTTCCCAGCTGTTATTTCTACAGGTTTGTTGCCACTTTGTATTAATAAAATAATTAATTTTGCTTTCCGCGGTGGTATGTTATACCATTTACTTTCATATGCTGTGTCCGCGAACTCGTAACTCTATAAACATATTTTTATTATTAGGATTAGATCATGTTTGAATCATTATATTAATTAATTATATTAGTTCTAGAATTATATTAATGTTAATTAATCACATTAATATTAGAATTATAATATTTTTAATTAATTATATTAATATTAGAATTATATGTGACGCTCCACTGTGAAAGGCTTCTAAAAAAAATTTTTTTCTGACTTCTAAAAAATTGTAGGTTATGTTTGTTAATTTTGAAGTGATAATACATAAGGTGGATTAACTCTCACTGAAATCTAATGATACGTAAATCCTTATTACATTCAAAATATTCAATAAAAATTATTATTTATTTTATAAAATTAAAAAAAGTTTTACTAAAGAAAGTAAAACGATCACAAACATAACCTACAATTTTTTTTAGATCAGCAGAACAAGTCCCTGAAGTTGGTGTCGAAGCTGAGAGAGTTGAAAAATATTTTTTGCAGAAAACCGAAAAGAATAAAATAATGTTTTCTTTGATTTTAGTTTAGAAACGTATTCAAGAAAATTCTTTAATTTCCTAAATAATTTAAGAGAGTTGAAATTAGTGCCATTTTTGTCTCTAAAAAACCATAAATAACCATTTTTGACGCTGAGCGACGTCGCCAACTTCAGAGACATAAAAAGGTACTTAAAATCAGTATAGGAATTCTTTTAATATTTAATATAAAAAATTATATATCTTACTTCCACTTGTAATATTTCAGTTAAGTAGCAAAAAATGTAGAAGTTTCCAATTTGATATATGCAAAATACCACAATAAAAAGGATATCTGGTAGCAGTGAAATATTTGGATGCTTTAAGTACTGAAAGAATTTTTGACAATTTTATAAAAAATTATAAAATTAAATTTTTAATCGATAAAAATTTGTATATTTACCAAAACAAGAAAGTAACCTAAGAGGCAGAATTGTAGCGTACTAGCAAGCAGTTGGGCAAGAAACATCAGATAGAAGTTACTTTCTATTATTTCGATGCAACTGTTGGAAAAAGTGATAAAATATGTTTAATTAGATTCCAAAGAATGCAATTGATACTTTTTCTTATAAAATTTTGCTACGTTAATTATTACCAAATATTTTTGCTTCTCCCATCAAAAATGCTATTAAAATTAAAAATAATGACCTATTTATATGATATTGAGTGGTGATAATGTTACCAAATTCTTTATTAAATTCCGATTCACACTTAATGTTATTAAAATTATTAAGAAAATCCATTAGTTTCAAACGTAAGATGTGATATTGTGCTGTGTAGTGAGTAGATATTTGACTAAAGTAGGCGTCTGATCCACTATAAGCTAATGTCGCACAAACTGTTCCCACATATTCAAAAGAACATAAAAATCCAATGACTGGACTGTAATTCCAAGTAAATGGAAAATAAGCATCAATAAGTAGTGTATAGTTTTTATAGTAAGCAGGAGTACTCCAGTTTGATATGTTCTCAAAAATCCATTGAAACACCCGAGAGGTGACTGTCATGTGACCGGATATGATACATATCAGCGAAAATATTTTCCCTTTTCGACCATTTTCAATCATTATATCTAATTCTTCGTTACTTTTTTTCCTCTTCCAATCAGCCATCATGTAATCGTAGAGAGTTGTCATTTCTATAACAATGTTTTTGGGGGAAAAAATTAAATTTTGATCATCTGTTTGGAGAATTAGTTTTTGTCACGCTGTTGGCACACTCGGTCAATTTGACCCAACACTTTATCATCATGTTTTTTAATAAAACTTCAGTCGAAATTTTGAAGTAAAATTAAAAATTATTTATTCAAAAATTAGTTTTTGTTTCTGAGGTTGCAAATTTAAAAATTTTTTTGGTCAGAATTTTTTTATATGATAAACTTTATGGTAAAAATTGTTTTTTTTATATAAATTTGATACAAACTTTGCTTATTGCGATAAAGCATAATCATCTTTGTAGTAGCCACTAAAAATGGAAGTTCCGCTGTGCATAAAACATTACTCAAACGATCCAAATCTTGCCAAACTTGAAACAGTCGACATAATTGAGGAATAACCACACCGAATAGTACACAGAATAGACTAATAGAAAATAAGCCTCTTGATATTCTTTCATTTTTCTGTGTAGGTGAGGCGCCAAATGTGCTGAGGCTTATTCGAGAGAAAAAAGTGAGATCTTCCAAGTAGTCATCTTGAAATATTTTCAACAATTAGTTTTAAATACTAATCAAAACACTCACTTAGATTTGAATTAATTCATTTATTGATTTAATTAAATTAATTAATAATAATATTAATAATAATAATAAATTAGTTAAAATAATTATTTATTTAAAAAATTTGAATTAAAAACTGTGTTGAGTTCTAAAATTTGAAGACAAACTTGTCTTTCTAAATATAAACTTAGTTTTAAACACATTAAACGTGTTGTTTTATGTCATGAATGAAATTATAAAAAACAAAGAAAATAACTACTCTTTCGTTATAAAAATGTATTTAATTTATTCCGTTGCATTATTTTTACCCTCAATGTCTGCTGAATTTTTCATTTTTTTCTTTTTTTTTGTAAATTCTTTTCTCTTTTTGTTATCTAAATTAATTTAATTTTATTACTTGGAATTACTTTTCCCGCACTAGAGATAAAATGTAAAATTTCATCATTGTAATAGTGTTATAAGTACTTCTCGAGTAAAAAGAAAAAAATTTATGAAATTCTATTGGGAAAAATTAAAAGTTTTATAGAACAAAATTCA